AGCTTGCTTTCTTTCATTTGGGAGCTGCGCTGCAGGAGCAACTCCAGTCAACACACATCACCCTAATGCAACAACATAGATCCAGCACAACAACACATATATTCACAACACAGACCCACGTTTTTCACAACAACGCATATCCAAATACCGACATCTCATCCTCCTTGCCATCGTGAGTTTTTTTCCGTCCTTTCCTGCTTCCTCCGTCCCGTTCCTCCTCCTCCTCTTCTTACACCTCCTCCTCCTGATCTTCGTCGTGCGTCATTCCTCATCTTCCTCCTCTTCTTTTTCCTCTTCTTGTGATTATTATTATTCCCCCTCTTCCGCCTCCTTTTATATTGTTCCTCCTCTCCCTCATTTGTTTTTTCCTCCTACCCCCAAACTGGTCCCAGGATGTCGAGCATGGCCCAAGATAGCCCCTGGCAGATCTCCAAGCACAACTTCAAACGTATCCAAGATAGTTGAGCATGGCCCCCGGTAGCCTCCGACAGCCTCTAGCCGACCAGGGCTCAATATAGCTTCCGAGAGGCTTGAAGAAAGCCTCCCATCCTGACTGGGCGGGCTGGTGGGGATACGCGAAACGTCACACGTTGTGTGTGTGTGTGCTTGATTGAACATGCATTCGATAGAGAAGCGGGGAAGGTGGCGGCGGCGGAGGAAAAGGTGGCTTGTTCAGTCACCCTCGTCCCCCCATGGCTTCGGAGTTTCTCCGAAATCCCGAGGGCACGAAACGCTTCCAGTGGAAGCGTCGGGTTCGGGGGTTTGGGGGATCCCGCGCCCGCAAAAAATTAGGCGGGGGCCGAATGACTCGGCTTCGGCGGCGGTTGGCAAGGCGACTCCTTCGGCTACGCTCTCCCTCCCCGTGGGTTCGGGAGCTCCCCGAAACCACGAGGGCACGAAACGTTTTCATTGGAAGCGTCGCCCTCGGGGTTTGGGGAATCCCGCGCCCGCAAGGAAAGAGGCGGGGGCTGAACGACTCGGCGGCGGCGGCGGGCAACGCGAGCCGTTCGCCCCCTTTCTCCTTCCCCGTGGGTTTGGAAGTTCAGCGGGGCCCCGAGGGCGCGAAAACGCTTCTTGGAAGCGTCGCCCTCGGGGCCTGGAGAAACCGGGCCCACAACAAAGGAGGCGGGGGCCGAACGACTCGGCGGCGGCGGGGGGCAAGGCGACTCGTTCGGCCACGCTGTCCCTCCTCGTGGGTGCGGGAGCCCCCCGAACCCCCGAGGGCGCGAAACGCTTCCATTGGAGGCGCCCCTCTCTGGGGTTTGGGGAATCCCACGTCCGCAAGAAAAGCGGCAGGAACCGAGCGATTCGGCGGCGGCGGCGGCGCGGGGCAAAGCGACCCGTTCGCCCCCCCTTCTCCCTCCCCACGGCTTCGGGGGCGCACGGAGGCCCCGAGGGCACGAAATGCTTCCATTGGAAGCGCTGCCCTCGGGGCCCGGCGAAACCTCACGCCCGCGGGGGAGGGGGCGGGGGCCGAACGACGCGGCGGCGGCGGCGGGGGGCAAGGCAACTCGTTCGGCCGCGCTTTCCCTCTCCGCGGGTAGGGGGGGCTCCCCGAACCCCGGAGGGAACGAGACCTTCAGGAACCCTCAGGAACAGGACTCCCAAGGAAACCGCAGGAATCCTTCAGCAATTCGGCGTGCATATTTTGTAAGAACCCTTCAGAAATCCTTCAGGAATCTACAGCAATGCTTAGCGGAATCCACAGGAACCCTTAACGTCGTTCACAGACCTAGAGGATATCTGGAGGATTCCGTCAGGACTCCTCAGGACTTCCTCAGGACTCTTCAGAACACATTCGGGAATCAGGTAGAAATCCTTCAATAATTTTTCAGGAATCCTTCAGGAACCAACAGACATGCTTCACAGAGTCCAGAGGAACCGTTCAGCCTCGTTTAGAAACCGTAAGACATCCTCCAGGATTCCTTCAGGAATCCCCAGGACCTCCCCAGGACTCCTCAGGAATCCTTCAGGAATCCTTCAGGCATATTTCAGGAATCTTGAGAAATCCCCAAGAATCTTCTTCGAATCTTCAGAAGTTCGCAGCGGTCTTTCAGAAATCCATCAGGAACCTTCAACCAATCATCCAGGAACCTTCAGGAAACTTTAGAAATCCTTCAGGAATCATTGGCGATCTTTCAGGAATTCTCAGGAATTCTTCAGGAACCTTCAGGACTTCTACGGAGCCCCAAGGAATTCTTCAGGAACCAGCAGAAATCCCAAATAATCCGGCAGACATCTTTGAAGTTCCTAGCTAGGAACCTCTTAGGGAACTGGTAAGGATCTTCTATGGAGCCTCTGGAGGAGTTTCCGCGGAACCTGTCAGGAACCTCTAAAGAGCCCCAGAAGTTGCCAAAACGGTTGTGATTCGAACCGGTTGGTTGGGATTGGTACAAACATTGTTGGAATCCGTCCCAGTTGGTTGTAATTTCCACCATTTTCGGGTCGACGCCCCCGGCTTGAATCAAATAATCAATTGCGTGTGTTTGGTGAGACGGGGGGCGGGAATCCCCCCCCACTCCATGGTTTTCCGACGGCGCGCGGGATGTCTGGGTGGGAGGACCCCCCCAGGATCCGACGTGTCGCGTGATGTTCTGAAGGCGGGTGCCCGTGAAACGCGTTCCCTCGTACATCGGACGTGCGCGCATGCGCAGCAGGTACGGTACTACTCCACGTATTGCTGACAAAAGGGCGTGCGTTATTGGAACCTTTTTTCCCTTTGCGTCACCCGCCCGGTATGCGGTATTTGGTGCTAGATTACGCATCGTTGTGAGGGTGGCGTCTGTGCCCAGACTGAATGCCCAACTCAATGTGGCTTCCGGCGCCTCTTCGTCTCATTTCCCAAAGCTCTTGTGCGCTGCGCCCTCGTTTTGAATCTTCCTCCTCAAAACTTAAGGGTCCTCGCGTCTCCTCCTCCACCTCCTCCTCCTCCTCCTCCTCCTCCTCCTGCTCCCACCTCCTCCTCCTTCGCCTCATGCTCCTCATCGTCTCCTTTTCCCTTATCCGACCTCTCCATGTCAGCACCCACTTCGCAAGTTTCTTGGCCCCCAGAAAGCTCCACCACGGCTTCCAGTTGGTGCATTCGCATGGCGCCGCCGCGGCATATTCGGCACACCCCTCATATGTCTCCTGCCCCCAAGGGAGCTTCACCTACTGTTCCAGTGGGTGCGGTCGCATGGCGCCGTCGCGGCCATATCGGCGCACCCCTCACGTGTCCTGCTCCTCCAGGGGGCTCCACCAGGGCCTAAGCATGTGCGTTCGCATGGCGCCGCCGCGCCCATTCCAGCACACCCCTCGCGCGTTTCCTTCTTCCCAGGGAGCTCCACCTACGCCGCCAGTGGGCGCGGCCGCATGGCGCCGCCGCGGCCATTGTGGCACTCCCCTTTCGCACGTTTCCTCCAGGGAACTTCACCAAGGGCTTCAGTGGGTGCGTTCGCATGGCGCCGTCGCGCCCAATTTGGCCAATCCTTCATACGTTTCCTGCCCCCCAGGAAGCTTCATCTAGGACCCCGCTGGGTACGTTCGCATGGAACCGCGCCCATATCGACACACCCCTCCCTCACACGTTTCGGCCCCTCCCCCCCCCTCCCCCCCCCTTCCCTCCCCCTCCCCCAGGGAAATCCACCTGGGGTCCTAATGGGTGCGTTCGCATGGCGCCGCTGCGCCCATGCGGTACACCCCATGCAAGTTTCCTGTCCCCCCAGGGGGCTACACCCAGGGCCTCATTTGGGTGCGCTTGCATGGCGCTGCCGCGCCCATCCTAGCACACCCTTCACGCGCTCCCTGCTTCCCAGAGAGCTCCACCGAGGGTCCCAGTGGGTGCGTTCGCATGGCGCCGCCGCGCAAATTTTTGGTACACCCCTCGCAAGGAACGTGCACCGCAGAGAGCTCCACCTGGGCCCCACTGTTGCGTTTGCATGGCGCCGTCGAGCTCATTTCGGCACATCCCTCACGCGTTTCCTGCCCATCCTAAGAAGCTTTACCCAAGGCCTCAGCGAGTGCGTTCGCATGGCCTCGCCGCGCCCATTTCGTCACACCCCTCACGAAGATCGTGCCCCCGCATTGAGCTCCACCTGGGGCTCCGTTTCGCATGGCGCCGCCGCGCCCATTCGGTGCATCCCTCACATGTTTCCTGCCCCTCTCAAGGAGTTCCACAGCAGGCCTCAGTGGGTGCGTTCGCATGGCGCTGCCGCGCCCATTTCGGCGGCCTATTGTTCCACATTCCCTGCCCCCCCCCTCCCAGGGAGCTCCACTCAGAGTCCCAGTGGGTGCGTTCGCATGGCGCCGCCGCGCCGACTGCGGCATACCCTCACGAGGATCGTGCCTCGCATGGTGCCGCCGCGCCCATTTCGGCACAGACTTCATCAGTTTTTCTTGCACCCCAGGTAGCTCCACCTAGGGTTATGTCGGGCCTGTCCCCCTACAGGGGGATTTTCGACGAAAAATAAAGAATACCCCCAAAACAATCCAAACATACTCCAAGCATAGTCTGGGGACTATTTTTTATACCTTTTGGGGACATTTTTCGGGTATTTTTAATTTTTCGTCGAAAATCCCCCTGTAGGGGGACAGGCCCGACCTAAACCTAGGGTCCCAGTTCGCATGGCGCCACCGCGCCCACTTCGGCACGCCCCTCTGTCGTCTCCTGCCCCTGCAGGGAGCTCCACCTCGGCTGCTGGTGGTGGGTGCGTCCGCACGGCGCGGCCGTGCCCATTTGGCACACCCCTCAGTTTGTTCTCGTGCGTTGAGCGGTGCTGTTGATAGTTGCCTCGCGTAGAGACAGGGTTGGGTTCTTCGCCAGGCCATTTGTTGTGTCTCCCTCTCTCTCTGTATGTCTGTCGCTCTCTCTGTCTCTGGCTCCCCGTCTCTCCCTGTTTCTTCCTCTCTCTCTCTCTGTCTCCCTCCTCCTGTCCTGCTCTTCTTCGTCCTTCTCATTCCTTCTATCCGAGCATGTTTCTTCTATGCTTTTTTTCATACCGCTCTTGCGGCTGGAAGGGGAGGGTGGCCGAGTCAGCATCGTCTCCTCAGTCGCCGGGTTGGCCACGTGCCCGGGCTACGCCATCTACTCTGCGACCAAGTTCGGGTGTGCGGGAGGGCGGCCAGGGCTGGCGTGAGGGGAGATGCAGTCCAGCATATCTGTAAGGAATTCTTGACCTCCAGCGAGGATTTGAGCGTCATGCTGGCGCTCGCTCGTGCGAGCGCGCTCTCTGTGTGTGAGCGCTTTCTTGTTGTAAGCCATATTTTCGACGGAGCCATCACTTTCATCTTGCTGGTCGTGCAAACCGAAGGGGTGCACATCAAGTCCTGACGATGCAGGCCATTCGTATCATGGGACGGCTACGATCAGAACGAACACCTGTATGACCACGTTGATCATGATGATGAGGGGGCTGAAGCCTTTGCTGCTGATTGTTAGGATGCTGAGTACTGTGATTGGAGACGGTGGTGGCGACAATGATGACTTTGAAAAGGAGTATTCGGAGAAAGACGATGAGTAGGCGGGGCGGGTGAGGAGGAGGAGGAGGAGGAGGAGGAGGAGGAGGAGGCGGAGAAGGAGGATGATGATGATGAGGAGGAGGAGGACGTGGATGAGGGGGAGGAGGGGGGGGGAGGAGGGGGATGAGGGGGAGGAGGAGGGTGAGGGTGAGGGGCAGGAGGGCCAGGAGGAGGGAGGAGTGAGGAGGGATGGAGCTGGATGAGGGGCAACGACGACAACGACGATAGCGTCCTGTCCCCCGCGTCGCCTGCCCTCGGGCCGGGGGGGGGGTGGCGAGGCACCGCGGCTTCCTGGCTGGGGCCTACGAGGAGTTCCGGAGGCACGGGGTGCACCTGTCCGTGTTTTACCCTGGAGGGAGGGAGGGAGGGAGGGGATCTTCTGTTCTCCTTTCGTTCTTCTGCTCTTTCCTCGTGCGCCATTCTCCAGGCAGTGCTTGCGCTGAAGGTTTCTCGCTTCCGTTTCATTGAATTGGCCCTGACGGTCGGTCCGGCCGCTGTCGCCGTCGCCGCCTCGTCGCCGCCCGTCGTCTGGGCCTGACGGCCGGTCCAGCGGCTATGTTGCCGCCGTGGGCTCTCCGTCGCCGCCTCGTCGCCGCCCGTCGTCTGGGCCTCAGTGGCTGTCTGGCGGCTATGTTGCCGCCGTCGCCGCCCCGTCGCCGCCTCGTCGCCGCCCGTCGTCTGGGCCTGACGGTCGGTCTGGCGGCTGTCTTGCCGCCGTCGTCGTGGGCCTCCTGGATCCTCTTGGGGGCCTCTCGGGAGCCTCTGGGGGCCTCCAAGGGATTTCTTCTTGGCCTTCGGGGGCCGTCTCGTAAGCCTCTGTGGGCAGTCGTGGGTCCCTGGGCGCTTTTGGGCCGTCTTGGAGGTCTGTGGGACCGTGTCGGAGCCGTCTTCGCATTATTTTTGGGGCCGTCTTGGGCAGTCTTG